CAGCAAACTTGCTGATAGTACACTCAATTAGGATGACGATGGCATTGTGCTGCTGGGAGAAGTCCAAGTGGGGTTGGGGACCTAAGGGTGCAGCAGCAGCACCCCAGCCAGCCCCAGAGCAGTGCGAGATCAGGAATCACACAGCCACGGGAAGGCGGTGCTTAATTAGCCCAAACGAGGAGCAAACCTCGTTAGCACAGGCAAGGGTGCCAAGTGAACCCGGCTGGGCCACGCTGTGGCTGCAATGCCAGCCCCAACTGGTGCAGGGACCTCCACACAACACTGCGCAGCCATGACCGACCACACAGCATTGTTGTAGAGCATTAATTACACAGTAGCATCAATTAAAACGAATAATCCACCACTGGGCAATGGAGGGTCCTGGTCTGCGACCACCCCAAGCCTGGCAAACCCATTCAGAGGGGTGAAGGGTGAGGGTCTTACCTCATATATATAATCGAAGAGCTCCAGTATAGTGAGGATGCTAGCACCGATAAAGAGCCCCATCTGGCCTCCAATGTCACCTAGGAGAGAGGACAACACGTGGATGGCTTCTACCCCTGGGGTCAACACTCATAGAGGCACCCACGGGGCAGCTGCTGACCCAGAGAGTGGGGAAATGTGAGAGATGACCCCCAGAAACACCAACTAATGCCATGAAAAGCATCCCAGGAAAGATGTTGACGGCCACCAAAGTATTTCTTCTGCTAATGAGTCCGTCAGCTGGAAGCCTAATGAGGATGTGGTACCGCACGCTGGCAACCAATCTGTCAGAGTCAGGCAGCAGGCTTCATCCCATGAATGCCAAAACTCATCTCCCAAACTGGGCGGGGGAAGGGGAAAGATGCTGGAGAAGAATTAGGGAACATCCCCTGGAGCTGAGAAAAAACCCAGACCTGCCAAAGAGAGGAGAGGGAGATGGGCTGGATTTTAGGGGAGCACCTCAAGGCTGTCTCTGCCTGAGTCCCCCCAGGGCTGGGGAAGAGGGGGCACCATGGGGAGAGGAGACGTCCAGGGCTCTGCTGGCATGAGATGCTGTGCTGTGCCAAACCGCACGCTTCAGAGGAGACAAATCTCATGAATTTTGCTGCAAAATACCCATGGTTCAATGAATCTCATGGGTTTTGCTGCAAAACACCCGTGGTTCATCTGCGTTGCTCCCCAGAGCAAAGGCACCCATGGGTGAAGGGGCTGTGGGTGTCCATAAGGCACAGACAGAAGAGAGAGGGAAAAAGGTGCTTGCTTCTCCTGACCAAACACCTCCGTCCCCAAACCCAACAGGTCCCAAGCACCCAAATCTGCAGTTGGCACCTAAAAAGCCTGACCCACTTTGAGGGGGAGCGACCCAACGACTTCTCCACCATCTCCATCAAGCTGTGACCAAGAGCTCAGGGTCCTGGCTGGAAAGGAGGATGGGTTTGGAGCATGTAAGAGGTGATGGGGAGATGGAAGAGCTCTCCTCCTCTACACGCTGCCCTTCCAGCATGGAGGACATCACACAGAGCATCCATCACCCGCTCGGCCCCAGGATTCCCAAATAATTGGGTCCTGGTAGCAAGCAGAGATGGAGCAGCTCATGTTAACCCTTTTTACAGTTGACACAAGGACTACCTGTGGTTCCTGAGATTTTCAAGGCAATGCACATAAGCTGTGCACCCACTCATAGCATCTTTCTGTCCCATAAACACACATGGACACCAGCACAGGCTCCCCCAGATTGCACCTCTGAGCTCTCCTTACCAAGTAAGGCTGCCACTTCATAGGCTTTCTTCTGTTCAATTGTCTCATAGTTGAGTGCTTCAAAAAATATGTCCAGCACAAGAATATTCTCTCTGTAGAAAGAGGACAACAGCATCAGCCCATCAGCCACCAGCAGCCTTGTGTGCTTTGGGGGAAGAAAAGAAAGAAAGGGATTTGGGGGGTTTATTCCTCTCTCTGTCCTAAATGTTCTCTTTCTGGGGTGCTCAGCAACCTGCAGTCCCTTGGAGCTCCTTGAGACCAGGACCATAGAACACTGCTAGGGCTCTGGCAGCTTTAGCAGTCAAAATAAGAGCAGGTTTTGCACTTTTTGGGTGGGTATGGAGTATGGTCATGAAGACAAGGCCAGGGAAGGAACACACAGTCTACTGAAAAGAAAGCAACCTACACCTCATCTCTTCAAGGGTTTCACCCTAACCCTTCCTGAAGGACATCTCCATCTGGTGATGGAGGCATCAGCAAGGTCTGGTCTTGGCACAGTCTGGTTTAAACACCCAATGGGACTTTACAGACACTTTCCCCCCATGAACCAAAGGAGATGTGCTTTTTGCAGCACTCACGAGATGTATTTTTCTGACTTGTTGAACTTCTTCTCCAGGTACTTGGCCGACGTCTTGCTGGGGATCTTGACCATGGAGAGCTCTTTGTTGTACCTGGTCAGGTTACAGGGTGTCCTGCAGATGCAGTAATTGCTGTCCTTCTCAGCAAGCAAACCTGGGGAAGGTCCCGGAGTTACATCTCACGGAGTCAGGGATACACAGCAGATGTGGGAGCAGAAGCCATGGCACCCCAAGGGGGGCCACAACTTGGAAGAGCCGCAGGAAACCCAGTCCTGGTTGCTTCTCTCCCACTTCATTGCATTGCCATCCCCACCACCTTAGAGATGCTACTACCAGCATCTGCTTGGGGAACATGTGGTGACTGAGTCTCCTACATCCAGACTGTGAGTGGGTCCCTACACCCCAAACCCAGACCCAGAGGTGCTCCCCTCCTACATATCCCAAGAGTTTCTGCACTGATGGAGCCCTATGCCCCACGCAGAGCCAGAAGAAACTTTATCCCAGGGTGCACCCAGCCCTTCCCAATGAGCTGGGTCTCATCAAAACCCCTCGCTGGGTTGTAGCTGCTCTAGGTCACCCCAGTGTTCCCAGCCAGGAGGATGCACGCTTCTTGGGACACCCGTGGTACCCAGGGATGTCTCTTGGTACTCACCGAGCGCAGGCTCTGCGCACTCCTTGTACTGCTCCGGGGTGCAGAAGGGAGCATCCCCTGCATGGAAAGGACACATCCATCAGTGGGCATCGGCCACCACTGCTGCACGGGAGCTGGGGACCGCTGGGCTCTCCACGGGGACCACAGGGACCTCCCTCGAGCAAAGCGAACCCAGGCTGGGGCTGGGCAGCAGGGGAATTGCAGCATCTGCCTCACCTCTGCCTGCAAATTGAGGAGGGGGCTGCTGGAAATCCCACCCAGGGCTGTTAAATGGGACTAAGTAAGGAGAAATAATTAATTGGGGATCTCATTAATGCTTATAAATGTCTCAAGGGCAAGCGTCAGGAGGAAGGAGCCAGGCTCTGCTCTGGGATGGCCAATGCCAGGACAAGGGGCAATGGTCCCAAGCTGGAGCACAGGAGGTTCAAGCTGAAGATGAGGACAAACTTTGTGAGTGTGAGGGTGCAGAGCATGGCCCAGGCTGCCCAGAGAGGTTGTGAAGTCTCCTTCTGTGGAGACACCCAAAGCCCTGGCCGTGTTCCTGTGTGACTGCTCTGGTGATCCTGCTCTGGCAAGGGTTGCACTGGGTGATCTCCAGAGATCAACCCCAACCACGCTGTGAAACCAGACCCACATCCCCCCCACCAAGTCCTGCCCCCATTTCAGGGTATTTTGCAAAGCCTGTCAGCATCCTTCTTTCCTTAGGGCAAGCTGCATTAACCAGGTCCCTTGCCAGCTCATTAACCCCTAACGACCCCAGGCTGGGTGGAGGGAGGGGGTCCACACCCCCCCTGCCCGCACTGACCTGGCATGTGAACCATTCTGCAGTTGCAGTTTTCCACAATGTAGCGGGTCTCGCAGTCGATCCTGCAAGCCGTGATGCTGTAAACGGGAAAGAAGTCTAAGCCCATATCCGACGAGCGACATTCACCCCAGGGCGGAGGCAGGTACGTCAGCTGCAAGAGAGGGAGGAGCGGGGTGTCAGGGGGAGCAGCATCTCCCTTCAGAGCTCATGGAGCTCCCATTTTAATGCTGCTTTTAAGGAGCGGACCAAGCGGTGCCGTTGCAAGGAAAGGTCGCAGTGTGATTTTTGCCAAGTGAGAGCCAAGCACACCCTGCTGCTCTGGAGCTGCTCTCCTGCATCCCTCCAGACCAGCACCTCTGGGAGCAGAGCCACAGCACGATGGGGCACTGGGGACGGGCAGCACCAGATCTCCAAGATCAGCTCCCTGGTCTTTCTTGCACCATTGGGAAAACCCTGCCCATGCAGGGAATGAAGGGGATGCTCTGACCTCCAAATCAACCCAAAGATGGGGTTGCTGACACTGGTTCGTCAGCCACTACCCATAGGGACAACGCAGACAGCGCTGGTGACATCGAGGAGCAGAAAGGGGTGGCAGTGAGCTCCTGTGGTTGCTCTGGTGTGAGCAAAGCCTCCCCATCTGCACCGTTCCCCTCTTCAGGCACTTTTCTCATTGATGAAAAATGCAGATCGTGACCCTCAGAGATGGCCAGGGCCTTGGGACAGGACCAGGAGCAGTACAGCACCAAGAGATTGCTGCAGAAGGTGGGAAATGCCAAGGGAAGGGTGCAGCGGTGCCGCAGAGAGCCTCCAAACCTTCCTACTCCCCGTGGAGGAGCTCAGAGTGGTGCTGCTATGGGAGATGGTGCTGCAGAGCTGTACCTCGCTGCAGCCTCCGAGAAGGCAGACAAGTCAATAATCTCCTTTTCTGAACAGCCATGCTCAGGGATACCCCATGGAGCTGCTCTCCTGGCACCCCATGACCATGAGCAACCCGTCTTCTTCTCCCCTATTCGCACACCAATTCGCCTGAGCTACGCAAACCCTTCTGCCCTTACTGCTTTATTTAAATGCAAAGATGAGATAAGCAGGACTCCACAATCCACCACAGAAACCTTCACTCAGAGCCCAGAACATGCTGGAGAAATAAACAGCCACCCTCTCCAGCCCCCACGGCCAAATCCACCTTGTTCCTCCTCTTCTGTCTGCAGCTTGGCAGCCTTTCCCATTTGGCTTTATCTTTGCTAAGCGCTCTGCACTGCTCCTTGCTAGAGAGCAGAAAATAGCATTCCTCTAACCCCTCCTCCTTTGTCTTTCAAAGCAGCGTCCAATTTGCTGCGCTTTGCCTCAAACACAGAACGTTTTGTGCTGGCGAAGCACGTTGGCCGAGCAGCAACATTGCTTTCAGAAATGGAGTAACATTAATCGCATCCCAAAACAAATACGTAAACACACGTTGATGGACTACGAGCCCAGGACCGAGCGGCAATGGTGCTTCTTTGGGGTTTGTTCTGGAGACGTGTGGGAAAGGGAGGAGAAATGGGATGATCCATGAAGTGGAGACACATTGCGGATGCTGTTGGATAAATAATGACCCCACGAATCCTCCAGGCATGGACAAACTGTGACAAAACCACCACTGTGAGCTGTTTGGAGCCCATGCTCTGCTCCAGGTCTGCCCCATGAGGTCTCCTGTGAGAGCAGAGCCCCAGCTCTCCATGTTCACCTTGCACATCATCTTGGGACCCTGCGGCTTTGACTTGTGAACCACTCAGACGTCAAAAACCCAAAGTGGGCTTAAACCACAGCCAGGAAGACAAAGATGAGATGTTGGGATGAACAGGTCCTGTGGTGAGGGCAGCTGGGTATGGGAACAGTTTGCCTTGGAGAGGCACGAAACCTGGAAGCTGAGGGAGATTTTGGGGAAGATGCCAGGCTTCAGAGGGTGATTCTGCCCCATGGGGCTGGATGAGCTCCCAACTCAGCCAAGCCAAAGTAATTCCTTCTCTAGGAACAAGTTTGCCATGAACAGTTCCCAAGCAGGAACACTTGCAGCACTTTGCTTGCTGCATCCATGGCCATGATGCTGGTTACAGGACCAGCTGGAACCACGGACACGGCAGCCCTGTGGCATACCCAGCTTCCAGATGAGCCACAGGTCCTCCTCATGATGAAGTGGCAGTTCAAGGTCTTCTCTTGCATGACCCCAGGGTTAGACCTGAGAATAGCTCAGGCCCTGCCTGCATGGGGGTGAAGGGGTCTCCACGCGATGGTGAACCCCTCTTTGGCTCTGTGTCCCCCACCATCACCAACTCCCTACCCCTGTGAGCATCACTCCTGGGCTCAAATGCCAATGAGACCGAAAACTTGGGTGTTCAGCCCCAGCAGAGCTGCGTGGTCTGCTCAGCACCTCTGCATCCTGCAGTGCCCCTGCAAAGAAACAGGATGCTTCGTGTGCCGGAGCCAGTATCACCCACGGCATTCCCAAAATCTGCCTAAATCCATGCTGCTGCTCAAGCTGCTTTGAAAAGCAGTGGCAGCGAGAGCTCTCAGATGCTCGGACTGACCTGCACTGGTCCCTGCACCCAGTGGGTCCCATCTGAGGAACTGGTGCCAAAAAAACCCCCAGTTCCCAGCAATCTCAGCATCCCCAAGGTCTCCAAGGTCTGGCTGGGATGGCTTTGGAAGTCAGCAAAGCAGCACCTTGGGATGGAAATATCGAACCAGCGTCTTTGTGACAATAGCAAAGCGCCTTTTGAAAGGGATCTTTCCTCATTTGCTTTACTCTTGTAATATAATAGAGTACCAGATGCCACCATTTAGTCATCCGCGGTGGAGAGAAGGGCCCATATGTTGTATGATAAAGGAGAATAAATAATCGCGGTCTCAGATGGTATCAGCTCTCTTCCAAGCACAGCTACACACGAATCTTCTTAAGCCCTTTAAGTTTCGTTCTGAATGGAGGTGCTGGGATCAGAACGGGACGGAGTCGCCATCGGATATTTACCTCACCCACAATTTTGCGTTGGGTTGGAGCCACGGCGCTCGTGAACTGGCACCGCGTCCGCAGGAGCTGCACGGGCTGCATGATTAATTAAACCCTAATCAATGTAGCCTCATGAACTATGGCTCGTTTTGCAGCCGGGACCGCAAGGACCCCGTACCGGGAAGCAAAGCTGGGCTGCATCTCCCCGAAAACGTGGTGTTCCTTGGGGATTTGCTGCCTTGCCACACGCACAGCCCTCTGCACACACTCATATAATTCACTTAATGCACGTAATTCACCTTTTTTTGGCTCCCTGAACACACAGGAATAGGCACAACACATCTCCCCTGCCACGTGCCAAGGCTTCAGCTCTCCCCACCACTCTCCGAATTGCTGATCCTTAAGAGCAGAAAAAGCCTCTTGGCACATTGAACACCCGTGGAGGTGTTTTTGCTCTGCAGTATAAAGAGTTTCCCTGCTTTAGAGGAAAGCCACGTCGTGTCTGGGACCAACAGGAGACTCCAGGGAAGCTCCAATTTGGACTTTTCAAAGGGAATTTCTCCGGTGAAACTCCTGGCCATGGCGCAGAGCCGTGTGGGGTGCGACACAGCCACCTCGGTGCTGATTTGTTTTATACCCATCCCTTACATCTCCGTGACACAGGCGCTGGCCATGCCTCCGAGCACAGCCCTGGGATGTGGTGGCTGCAACCAAAGCATCTCCCACCTCTCATGGACAGGGTATCCATGCTCATCCCTCTCCATGGGCTCATTTGAGGTCTGACAGGGAAATCTGTGCTTCTTCCTTACGGGAGTGATTTGAGAGACAAATCTCCCCGGGCAGGCGGGTTGGACCCTCCCTCCCTTGAGCAAGTCAATGAACTCTTCCCTCTCCAAGGGACTCATCAAGGGCTGTTACCTGGAGCCTCCAGCGCAATTACAGCGCTCCATAATTTGTCATCAGAAGCAAACTCGTGGCTGATCAGCAGCCAGATAGGGATGTGCGACCTCTCCAGAGAGGGAAGGAGCATCATTAGGGACAGGGCTCCGCAGAGAAAAGGGGAGCCGTGTTTCCCAGATCCTGTCTCTACATCCAAAGGTAACCTCACAGAATCACTGGATCACTGAGGCTGGAAGAGACCTCTCAGATCATCCAGTCCAATTCAACCCAACCCCACCATGGCCACTAAACCATGTCCCCAGGTGCCACAGCCACACAGTTTTTGAACCCCTCCAGGGATGGGGCCTCCACCACTGCCCTGGGCAGTCCCTGCCAGTCCCTGATCACCCTT